ATTTAACTTATCTTATTAAGTAGATTTTGACTAAATTTAATTTTTAAATATGAGATTATTTAGATTATCAAATAAAATTTTTATATTAAGTACTACAATTTAATTTTTTTAAATACTTAAATAGGTTATCAAATATCCCCTTACATTAATAAAAATAAAATGACATTTGTCTTTACCCAATATATAGGACTTTCGGACTAAAAGATTTAAAAACAGAACCACCATTTAGTTTTTTAAAGGGGACTAAGAATCATAAAAATGCATTGGTGCTAAAAAAAATAAATAAATAAGGAATTGATTATATTTAATAAAAGATAAAAATCACTCAAAAACATTGTTTTCGAAGAAAGGCTATCTTATTTTTTTCTATTCTAGTCTATTTTTTATAAATCATTATTTGCTCAATTATTTTCTAAGTTTAAATGTGAGTTTTTTTTTTAAGTCAGATGAATGTGACTTTGAAATTAACATGGGAAATTAATTCTTCAAATTTATTTATTCGGGCCTTCAGAACCTAAAATTGGTAGGGTCTGAAAAATAAGCTTAGAAGCCTGCTTTATTTTTTTCGGATTAGGTCTAAACATTGGATATTTTGGAATTTTAGCGTCATCCTGTCTAACTAAAATAAAACTTTCAAAATCAAAATGAGAAAAGGATGAACTTACCAAGGACTCACAAGGGGGAGGAGCTGAAATTTTGACTCAATGGTCGACGGCTTAGAAGTCGGAGAAATTTTTGTTCTTATTACTTCACACTCTATTTTCTACTTCTTTCTTTGCTATATTTTCTCAAGAATAGGCTCAACTCTCTCTCTTTAAAACCTCTCACTTACAACTACTCCTCTTAATTGTGCTCCCCGATTAATCAACATGTTTCTTTTCTTTTCTTTTTTATTTCTTTTTCTATTTCGGTGATTTTTCTTTGTGATTTTCTTTCAATTTTGGGACAAAATCTTTTTTCTTTCTATTGTTTTTTTTATCTAGCTTTTCTTCTTTCTTTCTTTCTTTTTTTCTTTTTGAACTGCTTTCCCTACTTTTTTCTTTCAATTGTTTAGCTGTTTTTTTTTTTCCATGGCTTTTCTTCTTGTTATTTTTTCAACTACCGTCATAAAAATTGAGAAAAATATAAACATGTTGTAAAATCATGTAAGTTATAAAATAACTAAAAATTTATGAAAAATCATAAAATTGTGCACTATACATTGTTTTGAATTTTTGAATAAAAATTTTATGAAGTTTTTTGGGATAAAAAATAAGTTATGAAAGTTGTTCCTTTTTTATAATGTTTACATTGCAAAATCAATTAAAAAAATAATTTTTTTCTTAGGTTGTTTAGTATAAGCGTGTAAACTAGAGAACAAATTTTTTGGAAATTAAGTGAAGAGAAAGACGAGTGAACTTGATATGCAACCAACATTAAAAATTTAGTTGGAAATTTTTAAATAAAATAATGGGCCACGTTGAGAAGCGGCCTACCTCATAAATTTACTTGAAATTTTTATGTTTTAAATAATAGGCCATGTTTAGAAGCAGCCAATCTCGATAATTCACTTTGATGTTGGCTATGCAGCAGAGGCGACGTACCTCAAAAATTCAATTGGAGATGTTGGTCCTGTTGTAGGCGACCTACTTCAAAAATTTACTTGGAGTGGCTTATTTTAGAATTTCACTTGAAGATTTTTGAGTCTTATGGCTTAGAGTGGCTGGGCCACACTTTTCGTCTTTTGGAATGCAAGACATCGATTCACTTTTTCGTGTTTTATTTTTTTAATTGTTGCATCTCAAGGAGATGCCATTTTATTAAATGAAAATTTTTTTCATCCTTGTCTTTCTCTGCATTTTCATTTTGGTCCTTGGCCTTATTGTTTTTTTCTTCCTTTTTATTGTTTAGTTTTCTTTGAGAGATAGAGAGCTGTTTACTCCACATTTGATCCAATACTCGTCAAATTTTTTTTTTTTTTTAAATTCTCTATTTTTTTAAGCTTGAAATTAGGGTTTGTGTTTGAGAGATTTTGAAGATTTTTTTGAGAGATAGAGAGAGAGAGTGAGGATAGAAAGAATGATTTTATGTGAAGAAAAAATAATCAAATTGAGAAATAATAAGGTGCGGTGAATTGGTCTTTTCCTCTTTTTTTTTTTTTTAATTTTATGAATTATTTTATTATCACTTTTTAAATCATTTTTTTTTCATTCGAGCAAAAGAGTTGTTATTTAAAACTCTACATTGTCACGTGTTAATTATTGATAGATTGCTCTTAACGGTACCATAACAAAATATTTGAAATAAAAAAATCTTGAAGAATAGAGGGTTTCAACCAAGTTAAAAAAATAAAAAGTTTCAATCAAAAAATACAAGTACTAAATATAGGCTACATTCTTTCTTTTTTTATTTTTTTTATTTTTTTATGTTTTTGGAAAAACAAGAAGATTCACCAGTAGCTTTTATTTTTTTAACTGTGGCATCTCTAAATGATACCATTTTATTAAATGAAATTTTCTTCATCCATGACTTTCTCCGCATTTTCATTTTGGTCATTGGTCTTATTGGTTTTTCTTTTCTTTTTCTATTGTTTAGTTTTCTTTCTTGGCTTTTCTTCTTTCCTCTTTTTCTTTTTTTCTTTTTCAATTGCCTTCCCAAAAATTAAGGAAAAATACCAATACGTTTTAAAATCAAGAAAGTAATAAAATAAATAAAAAATTATGAAAAATCATAAAACTGTGCAACATGTATTATTTTTTAAATTTAGTATTTTTGGATAAAAATTTTATGAAACTTTTGGGGGTAAAAATAGTCTATGACAACAATAATTGGAAAAAAAATAAAAAAAAAAGGTCATGAAAAAATATATAAAAATAATCTAAAACAGATGAAATACCCATACGAAAAGGGGAAAAAAATGAAAGCAATCTTGACGTAAATATAGCATATGGTTCTAGAGGAAGAAACATTTGCCAAGAAAAATCATACTTGGACATGAATGTTGTTTTGCAACAAGTCATACTATGTCATGCTTCGAGTCCGAGGCTATATGTGGGTCGATCCGGCCTTATTGGTTCGTAGAGGCATGCCTTCGCAAATTCAACTCCTTGAATGAGCCATAATCTAACCCTTTTTTTTTCTCTGTATCTGGATGATATGAAAGCAACTCGAAGAGTCATGTCCTTGCGATTGAAGTTGTATCTCATTAGAAGCCGACAAGACCTCTACTCCCCCTGCCAGCGTACCAAGTCTTTGGCTAAAAAAATGCTGCCCCTAACCAACCAAAACAAATATATATATATATATATATACATACATAAAAATAAAAAACCCTACATACACGAGCATAAGACCTGCAAAATTTTCACAAATTACACCTTTGTAGCCATTCTTCTTACTACAGCTAAAAATAAAACAATAGCTAGCAAAGACTTGGATGGCTGGAATTGATTCCTCAATATCAAATGCTAACATTTGATGAAAAAGGTCTAAAAAAAACTGCTTCCTAGAGTGATATGAAAAGGGCAATTTTGAGTGAAGGAAGGGAGGTGATTTTCGGCCAGCTTTGGGTGAGTAGAGTTCTGGTTTTGCGAAGGAGAACCAAGGTCAAAAAAAAAAAAAAAAGAAAGAAAGAAAAATGAAAAAAAGAAATGAATAGAAGTTCTAAAGTTTCGATCATTAACCAAGCAAGGTTTTGCTGCCTTTTCTTTTACTTTGGGTTTTGATTCATCTAAAATCCCCTTAAGGTATCTCTCCCACCTTTTTGTTTACTGTTTTAAAGGTATTTTAGGAACTAAATTTCATTACTTAATTTAATTTTATTTTTATCTAAGTGCATAGAGTAGGGCTTTGTTATAAACATTATGGTTGAATTCTGAATAAGTTTAGAAGCTGTGCGGTTTTGGATCGTTTTGGCCTCATAGTTCCTAGCTACTAGTTCTGTGATAAACATATATAATACAATTGCAACAAATAGAAAGGGCCTAAGTTAATAAAACACCGTTGTCAGCGACAAAGGAGAGGGTAGTCCAAGATAGGGAATATGCTTGTGTGAAAAGGAAAGTAGTGGCTGTTCTTTTATTCTCCAAATCTTGATCACATAATACGACAATTCTTCTATTTCCTCTGCTCAACTGACTATTTAAACCTGGTTCTATTTTGAACATGACAGAATTGCAGTAACAGAAAGGGGGAAGATAATAGAGACAGAGTTAACGGCTAGATACATAGAAACAAATTGGCTTTCTTTTTGGTGATCTAGCTTAGCTTTCTCTCAATTGGGTGTTTATTTTATATTTATATAACATAGAGTTTTTATTTATTTATTTTTATCATGAATAAATGTGATAGACTCCATATTTATAGACACCAATATTTGATATAACTTGTACATGCTTAAACCTTGCGTATCGAAATTATCTTTTTAGTTTTTGAGAACTTGCATTTTATGTTCCGTCTTTTTACTCGCCATAATTTGCCTATCGTACTGCATAGTCCCATGTCTTGATTTTCATTATTTATATCTGTGGATTCTTATGAGGATTTTATACAGATCTCACATTAAGTCAACGAATCTCTTATTTTTAAGAATCCACATTGATCTAATGAGGTTCTATCATTAAGCATGTTAATATATATATATATATATATATATATAATTGAAGCAAATCACAAAAAATGTGAGGCGATTAAATCCAGTACATAAATTGCAAGAGAACCCATTGCAAGAAAAGCCAACATTCATTCAAAATACGTAACAAGAGTCATTCATTCAAAACCCAACCAACCTAGTACATAAATTGCAAAAATCCCTCAATCACATCCCTTAACAACCAAAAACAATGCAAAGTGTGGCCCTCCTCTTCAAAGCATCGACAACATCCATAACAATAATTGCTTTTTGTCTCTGGTTTTCTTATTTTCCTTTACTTAACATTTTTTCCTTTCTCTTCTCTTATTTTATTTTCTCTTAATTTCTTGATGGGATAGAGTAAAAGGATACTTTTTTAATATTTGACCCGATGAGGTCGATTAGGTTCGAAATCCCAAAAATCAAAATCGACGAACAAAAGAATGGCATCGCGATGAATTTGGATAGAGCGGAATGGATAGGAGGTCTTTCAATTAGGAGAGAGATGGTTTCGAGATGATCAAATTGACAAAAATGATGTTTTGGTTGTGAAGAAGAAGGAGGAGGAGGGGGAGGCAAGTGAAGGACATGAAGATTTAGAAAACTTAGGGTTTTTATAAGAGGAGGAGAAGAAGAAGAAGCGAAGTTTTGTGAGGAGAGAAAAGGAGAGTTTATGATATTTTTTATGGATTTAATTTGGGATAATTGGATGAGAATAAATTTATCTTTTTAATTTATTTTTAAATTCTAAACATTAGTTTATTATTAAAATATATATATATTTTTTAATTTGAACTCGGACTCTATTATATAAGACCCATAATGCCAAGTGTCCGTGTCCGATTGGATACCGTTAGTTTTAATTTGCCACGTAGCATGGATATTTAATGGCGTTATAACGGAGGGTTTTAATCAATAAATTTATAAGAGTGAAGGGTTTTAATCAAGCTGAAAAACAATAGATGATCTTAATCAAAAAAATTGAAACTGTACGTAAACTAAACGTAGGATAAAGTCAATAAATAAATATGATGAATTGATTTTTCGATTAATTCTAAATTTATTTTGACTTGACTTAAAAAATAAACTCACAGTTAGGTTTAGAAAATGATTGGACAAATGATGATAGGCAAAAAATAAATTAGAAACAGAAATAAACAAGGTAACTTTTATTAAAAAAAAATGATGATTTTGAATGATTTTCATCTTTTCTTAAACAAAACCAACTCCTTATCCATTCTTCCAGAACCAAAATTAGTTTTTTTTTTTTTAAATATTCGTAATATGCTCCAAGAACTAAGTTCAGTTACATTTTATTTTTATTTTTTAGAAATCTTTTAATCTAAAAGTCCTATATGTCCAATAACAACACTCTTTGTCATAATGAAACTTATCACAATGTCCCTTATTATCTCCTTTTCATGGCCGACCAATATAACTCAAGAAAAACGATCTTCATTGTGATTCTCTAATTTTATTTTATTTTCAATTATCTTTTTCGTGATAGTGTATTTCTTAACTAGAAGTCCATGTATAAACATGATATAACTAGGCTTGATTTAACTTTTCTACTGATGGAATCAGTTCTTAGAAAATTTTTTGGTTTGTGTCAATTGTGTTTATAATCAAGACAAATGCTGATGTTTATTATAAAATTCATTCTTCTGAGTTTTAGCTGAGAAAAAAAAAAAAAAAAAGCCCAAGAAAGACACCACCTGGAGTAAATTATAAATTAGTCACTTTAGTTTCAATAAATGAATTAATTAATCTTTTGTTTTAAAATTGTTATTTAATCATTTGATCGTATTAATTATTTTTAATTTAATATTATTTTTATTATATTAAATGTCTTTTTTCCCATAATCTTCATATGTTTCCTTTTTCTATTTTTGTAAATCAAAATAAATTAAAAAAAAAATAACTTACTTGTGGCATACATTGTAGAGATTAGTGATTGTAAATGACAAACGTGAACTCATTAAAAATAACACCATTTGAGTTTTGAGACATTCAAAAAGTAAATTTGCTATCCCAACTAAAAAGAAGAAATTGCTTTTATTGCAATTGTTTCTTTTACCACTTAAAAATTTTAAAGACTCTTAGGCCTAGTTTGTTTTATGAAAAATGGTTTTCAAAAAACCATTTTCCACACTTTGTCATGTTTGGTGTAATTTAGAAAAATGGGTCAAACAAAACCACTTTCCAGTCAACTTGAAAACGCTTTCCTTGCGCTCAAATAGTTATATGTTGAATAAATTATAATTTAGTAATTGTATTTTGTAATAATTTTATAAGTTAATCCCTCTAATTTTCAAAAGCATAAGTTAGTCCCTTGATCAAAGTTTATTGTGTATATATATTTTTTTGAAATATCTTTTTTAAATGTACTTTTAATTTTACTTGTAATATGTAAGATTGGAAATTTTGATTAAAAATGAAAGATATTTTAAGCAAATTAATAATTTAATTTTGATGAAAAACCAACAAAAAGACCAATTTACAATCAAATATGAAAATATAAAAGTTAATATTAGTTTTTTTTTAAGTTAATTATCTTAGACAACCTTATATATATATATATATATATATAACACTAATAATTTATTTCTCCGTTAGTTTTTTCATGACATAACCAAACACTAAAAAATATTTTCAGCTCATTTTCCATGATAAGCTTAAACATCGAAAAGAAATCTATTTTTTCAAAATTTATTATTTTTTAAAAAATCTAATTTTTACAAAGATTACACTTTCTACGTAGCGATGAATCTTTAATCAATTTTAATATATTAGTAACCTCAAGAAGTTGGTTTAGTAATTAAAGAGATTTATTTTATTTTTTTAATCTTTTAGATTCAAACTCTAAGACTAACAATTAAATAAATTTATTGAATTCTTCTAAATATGTTAAGAAGATGTAAATGATATGTTTTTAAAATTATTTGATGAGAAACTTAATTTTAATAAACATATAAATTGATTCTAGAATATATTTAGATGAAAAAAAAAAATTGTTGGTTGGCTTGAAGTGATGGGTTGATTTCACTATTTTTTCTCATGTGAAGTACGCGTTCCTTCTCCATTAATTTCAATATATAACTCCGTTCATAATAAATTTACTTCAACGGTTTGTTATGGAGGTTACGGTCTAAAGGGAAACAGACACTTAGACCCTGCAAATCATTATGATGATTAGACCTATAACCTACCGTATCAAGGCACGTGTGCCTAATGTCCTCGGTGCTCGAAAATGCGTCAATCCATAAGTGGCCAGACGTTCATTATTTGCAGATGGACACAAAATTGGTGCCAAACAAATGGCCATAGCTACTCGGAGCTCGAAATAAATCTTTGTCCTCTTCAATTATGTCTTTAATTGATGACGTGTCTTCATATTCCTCAATTACTCAAACCGGTCAACGCATGCATGACAGAATTCGACTATCCAACATTTAAAGCAAACCTAGAAGAACTGTGTGACAAATGAATAATAAATCGCTTCAAATTACTACTTATTTACTGTTTATAGGTGGCAGTATAGTGGCATTTTACTGTTCATTGACTGTTTATGGGTGGCAGTTTTTATAGTTTTTGTACATTCATTTTTAAATTTCACACATTATTTTGTTTTGATCTCATAGTTTTTTAAAAAGTATTTTTTGGTCCTTTATGTTTTAAAAATATATTTTTGATCCCTCATATTTTTGACCTCTCATGTTTTTAAATTTTAAAATAAAAATATATATCGAATTATATTATTTTTATTATTCAAAATTAATCTTTTGAATTTATTGTTTCTTATGAAATTTCTCATCATGTTAATTTTTTATTTTTTTATGTAATTTTATTTATTAATGAATATGATTTATTTTTCTTTATGTATGAATTTTTAAATATATATTTCTTCTTAAATAAAAAATTAATTAAATAATAGAAGTCACGTGTTTCTTTGGCTTATTCTTCATATAATCAAAAAAATTTGGAACAAATATTTTAGTTGTTTTTATTGCACTCTATTTACTTCAATATATTCCTTATAACTTAATTTTTAAAAAACCGAGTTTTCAATTTATAATGCACACACTCTAGCTCACCGAGTATGGTCATTATGTATAAAAAAAATATCGAGGTTGTTGATTTTTTTAAAAAAATTAACTATACATTTACGCACATAGCACTAACCATTTTTTATTAATTATTTTTAATATTCTAAAATTAATCTATTTCAAATAAAATAATTAAAATAATATTTTATAAGAACCACTTAACAATTGAAATACGTCTTTTATACTAATATTATTGATTTTTTTGTAAATAAATATATATAAAATAAATGTATATATTTTCATAAACTTAAAAAAGATTCGTTAGCTTACTTTTCTATAAGTTTTTGTATTGATTGCTACTTTATTTATTCAATGCAATCTTATAAAAAAAATATTCAGATGTTATTTAAATTTTATATTAAATTTTTATTTGTATTATTATAATTTTTTATTTAATAATGAATGCATAATGAAAAATGAATCATGTTTTTTTAACAACAAAAAAATTTGATAAAGAAACCTATCAAGCATAAAGTTTATTAATGAAAGTACAAAATGTTACTCTCTATCCCAAAAAAAATTATCATCTTTCTATTTATATCTATTTCAAAATGTTTGTCTAGTCAAAATTTTAAATAATATATTTCTTAAAACATCTCCAATTGATAAAGAAAATCAATTTTTTCTTCCTTTTCTCTTCTTCACCGACAAAAAAAAAAACAATTTTTTTTTAATTTTTTCCTTATATATATACATATAACTTAAACAAAAAAATTTTAAAGAAAATTTTTTTGTTACATAAAACATTAATTCTTATAGAAACTTTACTACATGTCAAAATTTTAAGTGTAAAACATTTTCATTAGTATGTTATTTTTCATAATTATTTTCAACTTAATTGTTATTTAACTTAATTATTTTTTGATTTGATTTATTACCTTAATTTTAGATATATTTTTTCTTAAATTAATATTAATTTTATGTAATGTAGGATTAATTTGACAACTAAACATTTTAACAAAAAGAGTATTTTTAGAAAGTATGAACAAAAAATATTGATATGATACAACAATTAATAACTTTCTTAAATTATGTAAAAAGTCAAAGGATATAATCTTTTTGGGACACAGGGAGTATCTAATAACTATGTGGTTTGATTGAAATTGCATTATAATTAACAATGTGTAACATTTCAGCTTCTAAATTGATTGTATTTGTTATTTAGCCTATTTAAAAGGTTGGAAAAATAGTGGTGGAATCTTCACAAGTCCTACAAATATGGAGCACAAGCATCGGTGTTAGTGATGTAAAAAAATCCACACATTTCTTTATATTTATTGAAATGTCGAATATAATGATATAGTAGTGCAAGAAGAAATTTAAGAAAGCTATTTATGGTTGTACACTTTCCAAAGCTAGTATTACAATTGACCCTAAAAATAAGGGATAGAAAGAAAAACTACTTTCATAATTTTGTTTCCTATTGACAACTTACGCTAACACCCCCCACTAGGCTAATGCATACATGTCTCTAATGCCAAACTTGTTGAGTGAGTTGTAAAAGTTTTTGTTGGAAATAGCTTTTGTGAGTATATCTATCCGTTGATCTTCGATTTGACAAATGGAAATTGAATTATTTTATCTTCAAGATTCTATTTAATGAAATGTCAATCCACCTCGACATGTTTAGAATAGGTTCATTTCAAAGCTAGGAGAAAAGCCAATCTCACTAGTAATCTTTTGATTCAAAAAAGTTCGCAAAGACCTTTAACCATTCCTCGAACTTAGATTTAGCACTCGGATAATGCCATTACCTTTTACTTCTAGCTTTTTTTATGCAACAAGGTTGCCTCCTACTAAGGTAAAGTACCCCCGAGGTGGACTTTCTATTCGAAATGTTCCATGTCCAAATTAGCATTTATGTAGCCATCAATGTTTAGATCGTTATTCTTAGACAACATAAGCCTTTTGTTTTTTTGGGAGATGATTTCAAATAACGAAGAATCCAAATTATCGCATCTATATGATATTCACTAGGACATTGTATAAATTGACCCACTATGCTTACAACGTAAGCAATGTCTAAGTGTGCATACGATAGGTAAATAATTTTTTTAACCAATCTTTGGTACCTCTCTTTATCAATTAATGCATGATTTGAACATACTTCAAGTTTATAATTATGAATAATTATAAAATCAACCGGCTTATACTCCAATAATCCCACTTTTAATAGCAAATTTATTGTATATTTTCTTTGGGAAATAAATATTCATTGTCTTGATCTTTCTACTTCTATTTCTAAAAAATATCTATGTCCTTCAAGATTATTCATTTTAAATTTTGTTGTTAATTGCTTTTGGAGTTTATAGATCTCTTCCCAATCAACTCGTGTAATAATCATGTCATCCGTATAGATCATTAGAGAAGTCACTTTTCCTAGTTGGAGTTTTGGGAATAAATTATGATATGAGTTGTTTTGTTGGGAGTCATATTTTTTCATAGCCAAGCTAAATAATTTAAAACATGCATGAGGTGATCGTTTTAGACCATATAATACTCGTTGTTACTTACACACAACCCAAGCATTTGAAGATGCAATATTCCTTAATAGAATATCCATATAAACTTGCTCCTTAAGATCACCATAAAGAAGAGCGTCATTTACGTCAAACTCGTTGCAATAACCTATCTAAATTGACAACAAGAGACAAAAAGACTTTAATAGTATTTAGTTTTTCCATTAGTGAAAGCATCCTTGATTAGTATTTGTCAATAGATCCATCTATGTTATGTTTTTAATAGAAAAAACTCATTTGCACCCCACTCTCTTTTTTTTTTCTTTTAATAGTGGGACCAAAGTCTATGTTTTATTCTTCTACAAGGTCTCTATTTCTTCTTCTATAACTTTAGCCTACTTTGGTTCTGTTTAGGCTTCTTGTATTATGTTGGAAACTTGGCACAAGGATAACGTATGCACAAATATCTTTAGAGGTTCTAATAATTTATGAGTGGAAAAATAATTGGCTATCGGATACTTTGATCTTTTTTCCTCCAAGTCTAGAGACTCGTCTGTTTGGTGGCTTGCCATGATTATGTCCGAACAGAGAAACATAATTAGCAAAAGTATTGAAGTCATTTATATGTGAAGGTGTAGTGGGAGAGCTTACCTCAAGAATATTCTCAAGAGAAGGGTCTTCAAATATTTAGGAGTGGGGGGATTTATTTTCAAATTTAGATGACAAATATTAACCTCTTGATGACATATCAACATCAACTCTTGAAAGGGGTATCAACATAGCTATTTCCATTACAAATGGGTTTGAATTTTCTTTAAATCCTAGCCATTCAAAATCTGTCTAATTATATCTTCATTTTATATCTTATCTTAAAGAGATGAATTGGATACCGATTATGGAAAAAGGTGTTTGACTCAAAAAATGGAACATCTATAGAGACATAGGTGCATTTGGCAATACGATTGTAATAATGATAGCTTCTTCTTCTTCTTTTTTTTTTTTTAATGTAAAGCATACCTTAAAAAAAATATAAAAAACTTTATAAGGATCTAGTTTAGCTTGTTGATTTTTTTTGAAGATGAATAAAAGCAACACAACTAAAAACTCATAGAGAAATTAGTAAAACAATGGGCATGGAAACATGATTAGAAATTACCTATCACGGGGTTTGTTATAACCCAAATTTTTTCCTCTTTATTTTTATTTTATTTTATTTTTGTTTCATTTTGATTTTATCCTATTTCTATTTTATTTTTACTTTATTTTCATTGTTAGAATTAATCCAATAATAATAATAATAATAAAGAATACAAAAATATAAAAAGAATTTAATTGTTAGGATAATAATTGAATGAAATAAAATTACAATTATAGTAATTGAGAGTACAATTGAAACAATTGAAAGCTGTAGACTAAAATTATAGGGTATAAGGACCTAATTGAAGAAATTGAAGCACAAGGACTGCAATGACTCTATTAAGGATTACGATTGAAACAATTGTAATAGCTCTACCGATACTGTACAAGAAGTAACAGCTTCATAACTTTTTTGTGCCTTGAGTTCATGCCACCATTTTGGATACCAATATTTCATTTTCATAATGAGTATACCTCTTCCTTTTAATGGTACCTTAGCCTTGGAGGTTGTATTTAGCTTTCTATAATCCATAGAAAGAGAACCTAATTTTGAAAGTGAGTGTTGTTGTTCCATCTTGACTTCTTTAAAAGCCACAACAACATCAGTATATAGTTTCTATGCCTGTTATCATTAATGCCTATTTGATATCTTTTCGTTACACGTGAGCATAAGTCTGTTGTACTGTAGAAAATGATTTCATCTATAACACATCACTTTGAATCTTGTCTAGCTGGTCATCCAATTTATGAAAGAAAATAAATCTTAGATCCAATCTTAATCATCCAATCACCATCATCATACTGGTTAGAGCTAAGTAATGCTTGAATAAAGTCACCTTGATTCTCTAGACTTGTTAAATCACTTAAAGACTTTACTTGTGAAGTAAAGGATAATCAAGGTTCAACAGTTATCAAGACAGCTCGACTCGAGCCTTTAATGGAGGCAGCAGTAGCTCTACCTTCAAGGTTCAACGTTTTTTGCGCCTTAATTTCATGCCACCAGTCTCGATATCATGCTTTATGTTTTCACAATGAGTAGTAACCCTTGGCCTTGAATAATGTGTTTAACTTTTCATTATCTATACAGAGAGAAGACCCTGCTTTTGAAAGCGAGTGTTATTGTTCCATCTTGACTCTCTTAACAACACCAGTTGTAATTTATGTGCCTGTTATCATTACTACCTGCCTGATATCTTCTCATAAAATGTGAGCATAAGCATGTTCTAATGTAGGAAATGGTAATTAATAATCCTGATTTTTGTGTCTGATTTTTGTGTGTGTGTATATATATAAGCAAATTGTGTTTCAATGGTTTATAGTATTCCGGGTGGAGGGAATATAACCATTTGGTTTGGATGAGAAGGTAAGCTAGTTGGGCTCGCTCACATAAAGGTCACTTTCCTTGAAATGGGACTCCTCTCAAATGGAAATGGTTCATTTTTAAGCACCAACATGGAGGAGGGAATTATCTGCTTTTTGACGGTTGATTTGATGGCTAGTTCATCATGTATGTGGGTTCACATTTCACATGGAAATGAATTTAATTTGTCAAGTGGTCCGGAGATAGGTTAGGGTTTGTCGTTTTGCAAATCAGTAAAGGCCTAGAATGTGTCCCACTCCAAACGTGAATTACCTAGGGAAGGTTCATCTGTTAGACCGTCACCAAATACTACCGGTATCGGTGCAGCCAAAATCTGCGCTTTATTTTTCATTAATTTTAATTAGTCCTAAAAACTCTCTTTTTTTTTTTTAACTATTTATGCAACAAATTGTAATTAATCTCTTCTTTTTCGTACACACCGAATTGCATTTTTCAGTAGTTTTAACATATGGATGCTAGCTAGCTATTTTGATCATTAAAACTAGTTAAATAACACTTCAAAAGTATTAAATTTTGTTCGATAATCTTTTTAATAAACTCAATTATGAACGCAGATGTTGAGCTACCTCAGGATCTTAAAATTCTTTACTAGAAATACTATAGTCTACCAAAGGACTACAACTAGTCCACGAGATTTATACATGTGGGCTTGACTAAGCTGCAAGTAATTAGTTTCTCCGTCGTTATTGGACAGAATTAAATCTTAAACCAGATCCAATTATATTTTAATTATGACATGTGAGCATTTGATCTTTGAGAGAGACTGACAAATTGAGGATGACTGCTGAGATATCAAACCAAACAAGGGTGTCGACATTCGACTTTTTGTTTAGAAGGGCAAACTTGAATTTGTCGGTTGAAAGCTAATTAATTAATGTCTTTGGTCGTATATACATTATTTATAAATTATCGTATTATAAGGTGAAGTTATGTTGTTACAATTCAAAAAAAAAAAAAAAAAATGAAATCCTGTAAATATTTGATCCTTCACTTCCAATGGGACTTAAATGCAAGGGGACCTCTGATTTTTTTTTTTAATATCAGGTTTTTTTGCCAACTTTTTTTTTATTTAATGTTAATATCACATAGAAATTCATTTTGATTTGATAAATGATGACATGCCATTTACATCCAAAAACCAAAAAAAATTAAAATTTTGTTTTTTACAATTTGACCTGAAATTTAAATCTCAAAAACCATGAAAGGAGCATATATAATTTCTTTTGTTTAGAGATATCTCTGCCAAATGGGCAGTCTACGTACACAATCAATCATAATCATATTGCACTGAATCTTAATTATGAAGGCAAAGTCGAATTTGTCATTCGATAGCTAATTATGTCATTATCTGCGCATATGCATAAGTACAATGATGCATAGCGAAATAATATTTGAATATATGCTTGAAATTCATGAATCTAGCTATATATATAGTCTGCTGCCATGCATGAATCCTCTGCCCTAGTTGTGAAATTTCAATAATCCATGAAATTTAATTAATATTATACATTTACATTAAGCTAGCAAGTTGTGATGACTGGCAATATAATATTTTCTAATCAAGAAGGGGAAATTGTCGAAGTATAAACTTTAATGCCCACTTGGAAAATCATACTATATATTATGATATTGACCCAAAGATGAGGAGAAAAGTTGGTCTCTACAACTTGATTAAATTAGTAATACACATCATTCTTTTAGAAAACGTCATCAGTTGGAATTTTTTTCTTTTTTTATTAAAAGAAAAATCATCATTTGGAAGTCAATGAAATAATTTAAAAAATAATAATGCAATTTGCTATATGAAAAACATATGAAACTGTCATTAAGGTTTGGACTGTCTTTCTTGGATCAACTTTCTTTCACAATAGCACAAAAGTGAGGTTAATTTAAAATATTATTAAATTTATCAATCAAATTGTTATTTTTATTATTTTTTAATAAATAATTATCAATATATATTTTTTATTAATTATCAATAACTATTATATAATAAATATTAATAGGAAAGTGTATTGATGATTTTTTTGAAAAAAATAATTTAATTAGTAAATTTAACAGTATTTTTAATTTAATAATTAAAAAATAATAATTAATTTTTTTTAGTTCAAATGTCAGGTTAAGTTAAATTCTTAGAAATGTATCTTAGTTTATTATGGATTCATAACATGCTTTTGATGGGATCAACATGAATATAATTTTGATGCGTAAAAATAACACAAAAATACCACTTGATTGTGAAAGTAAGAAGAAACATCTGAGTAGTCCCAACTCCAAGCAAACTTGAAACTAAAAATTAGTCAAATCTTAAAAGACGGCTAAAGAAAATTAAGACGCAAGCCTAATATTTAGCCATTACCGCGGTTGGAGTTGGACATGGCCAGGTAAGCAAAAGCACAATCTAACAAGGAACTTGCCAGGTTGGATTGTCTAGTCTAGCCAGGGCCAATATTGTGCATACGAGCTCATCTTGGTAACTTACAATTGCACAATGTCCATCTAAAATCTTGCCACGCCAAAAAAAATACTTGAGAGATAAACCCTTGATTTTAAACACTCACACGTAGTACAATATCATTTAATTATTATTGTTTAGAAACATAATTAGTTAGTTTTTCTAGTTTTTTCTTTTTTTAAAAAATCCAATATTGCATGCTTATATTTTTTCTATTTATGTTTATAATTTATTTATTTTTTTGGTTACGTGTCCATTAATAAAGCATTCGGTTGTCAACAATTCACTTCTTTTTTCTCTAACCATCACGAATCCAAGACCATAGGAATAGCTCCTTGATAAGACGATGCTTTAGTCTATTTCTTTGTCCAAAAAAATAAAAAATAAAAAAAGTTATTTCTTTTCTCTTCAAAAATTTTCTTTTTGTCAACATGTTAATTTAACCTCTCCATGGATGAAAAGTGTCCTTCAAATCCTTTTGCTAAAACATTAAGAAATGGATCCAAAGGAGATATCTATTCGCTTTCGTACTGGAAAAACAATTTATTTTAACACGTTTTAAGTGTCTATCGCTATTAATATAAGAAATTAAACTTGGCTCCACCAAGTGTTTGAGTACTTAATTTGTTCCTAGTAAAACTTGAATGTCATCAAGCCTATTCAAGTTCAAATTGTCATGGTACTGATGAGATAATTCTAAATCTTAGGACACCAACATTGATCTCCTTTTGTTGTTGTTTTTTTTTCTAATTAACATAAATAATATAATAGGCAGTGCCCACACCAAATACAAACTCGCCATGACTATTATAGTATATACTTTTTACACATTTTTCCAATTATATTTTGCCTATAAATAGAGAGAGTAAGTGCAATAATCAGGTCATCACACATGGTGGAACCCAAATTTCTTCTTTCTTATTGCTACCTCGGCAATTTTAATGCGTTTTGCTTCTCTCTCATTGAGTCCCATTCTCTCGCCAATCTTCTCTTGACTCGCTTCTCACAGCCCAAGCTTGATTGCAGGTTACTCTCTCTCTCTCTCTCTCTCTCTCTCTCACACACACACACACACACAGTTTTCGGTTAACATTCCTGCTTCGATATCCCTTTCTTCTCTATCTTGTTCTTATTTTCACCCTCTGGCCTTAGGAACTAGCTTTCATGTTACTTTTCAATAAAATTCTGGTGAATGATAGAGGAATTAATTTTCTTTATTCATGTTTGAAAAGACCACGGAAAATCTTTGATTTTGTTTTGTGGGGTTTTCTTGAGTTTATTTATGTTGAGGAGCTTCCGTTAATGGGGTCAATATTGTGGTGCTTTTTGTCCTTTTTTCTGTCTCTGTGTGGTTGTGGAAGTGCTTCTGGCCTCTTCTCATTCGTGTCTTTGTAGGACTAGTGATTATAATCTATTAATTCTATACCAAATCCAACTCTTCCAGTTTCATATCATATAATATTATTTGTGTCACATTAATATAATATAAACACGGTCAGAGAAAAAGTTAATTTGGATAATCTTTGAAACTACGTACATGAAATGATTATGTTGAGAGTAATTTTTTTCTTCTGATAGTTGTAAGCACTCGATTTTTATATTCGTAATCCATTTCTAGTTATTTTATAAATTTTTAGTTATTTTTACAATTTTATTAACTACTAATTATCAAAAAAATAAAAAATCATTGACAGTACCTTCCTTCTTTCTTCCTATGTCATCGTTTGGTCAAACGCGTGGGAAGTTGTAATAGTTTTGGCTTTTTCCTAATTAAAGCTTTCTATTTTATTTCATTATTATAATGAATAGCTGTACAAAACCTTACGTCTTTCTTTCTCAAGCTCTTTATAAAATTTGAAAATACAGAGAGAAACTTACTTGCGTAACGTGTTGTGCGGGCTTTCTGCTTTAACTCATCGTTTATTTAACGTCTAGCCATTCTTGAATTCTTTTTTCTCTCTTTCTTTTTCTGCAAACATATCTGATTTTTGTTCTCCAATACTTTTTTTTAATTTGTTTGAACTCTAACATTTTGTCAATTTTTTATTTTTATTTTTTTTTAACAAAAGAGTCTAGGATAAACACTATTGATGGATGCAAATTACAGTTTCTCAGTTAAAAATAAGAGGTATTCATTGAGGAAGAAAAAGGAAAAGTAACAACTAAATAAAAATAAAGGATTATTGTGCTAATGAATTTGTCCACCACTTTATCCTTTTTCTATGGGACAATTTATCATATGTGGTGATGACTGATTAATAGTGACTGAGCTTTCACCTAGTGGGTCCATAAACTCCAATAATACCATGTTTTTTTTTCCCCACCCTTCTCTATTGGCTAGTGTAAATGCTTCTAACACTAATTAATCCGTAATTTCTGTTTTTTTTTAAATAAAAAAGTTGGCATTTCTATTAGGAGAAAAAGAGAAGCAGCTGACGGCAGTAAAGTCTAGAATGGCCGAATAAATATATTGAGTTCATAATTCAGAAAGAAAGAGAAAGATAGGAAGAAAGCCAATCAGGTTGCATCCTTAATTGCATGTTTATAGAATAAGCTATAGAAGAAGACATAGATCCATGCATGTTGTGGTTGGATTCTAAACAATATTTACATCCTTTGGAAAGTAAAGTGGGATCCAGCCTTTTGTCCTCTTCCGTGATATGTAATGATTAAAAATAATAAATAAATTATATCCTAGTACTTCTGTCCAAGCTTGGAGTTTCTGGCCACATGGCCTTTCTATGGTTGGAAAGGACACGCTGGAACTCTGTATCTTCAACTGATACCTACCAGAAGAACTGACCCCAAATTATTAAAATTGTGGGATCGCAAGTTATTTCCAATCTTTTCTAGAGAAGACCACATCTTTTTGAGAGTTGGCGTGACCCATAAATGACTTCACTTTCTATTTTATATATTTAAAAGAAAATTAAAAATATATGTTTCTTTGTATAATTATATCATTTCCCATGTAAACAATGTACATAAAAAAAAAAAAATCGAAACTATTATGATCATCAAAATTTAAAAAAGGAAAAAAAGGAGCACTTTGATTTCAATCATTTCAAAAAATAAAAAATAAAAATCATTATCATTTGTGTTTGGTCCAGGGATGCACAGAAATGAGTGATCAAAATCCACGTTCATATGAACAACCAATCACCTTTAAATTAAGTAAAAGAAAACGGCAAAAAGAGCCAACTTTGTTAGGACAATTTATTTGACTATGCTAGAGTTTAAATAGTAACAATGACACGGACCCCACACCATGAGAGACCCGTATTCTGTACCATTAATGGTGACAAAGGGGTGTTACCTTCTTGGTTCTTTCCTCTCCAATCCCAGATATGGAGGCTGGTTAGGCTTTTAGATTCGCATGCATTTTTTGAAAGCTCAATATTTAGCTTCTTATATATATAATTTTGTTGCGACAATTTCTGTTGTTGCATTTTGAATTTGTTTTTGCTAGTCTTAACTTCGCTTTCTCTTTTGTCTTTTCTCATGCTCCTTCTCAGGATTTTCCTTCTCTTCTATTAGTATATGATACAAGGGCTGAAGTTGCAAGATAGGCACAGAAGTACAATCCTGCTACAAGAGAAAAAGATAGAAAAGAAGGAAGCGTTATACGTTTCTTGATCATTTTCCTGCACATTTTTTGTAAACAAAGTTAAAAAGAGAAGATGGGTTTCTTGACACTTTTTGAGGTGGCATCTATGCCAATTGTACAAGTCCTGCTGATCAGCTTATTGGGAGCCTTGATGGCAACGGAGTATGTGAATCTTCTCCCTGCAGATGCTAGAAGATCCTTAAACAAGGTAAGAATCAAGAATTTCATTGCTTTTTGTTCCCTCTTCGTATGTGCAATTGAATAATCAAAATTCTTATGCCAATGCAGCTTGTGTTCATGGTGTTTACACCCTCTCTCATGTTTGCAAGCCTGGCTAAAACTGTTACACTCCAAGACATCATCTCATGGTAGGTTAGCAGATAATTGATTAAGTTGTTCACATTTGACATGCTGAACCAATTTGACAAAATCCTTCAAGCTGGAAAATGATTCAAATTCTGCCTTGGTTGATAATTTGTTCAGGTGGTTCATGCCTATTAACATTGGGTTCACCTTCTTAATTGGAGGCATTCTTGGATGGATACTTGTTAAAATATTGAGACCAAAGCCTTACCTAGAGGGCCTTGTTATTGCTACATGTTCATCAGGTTAGTTGTAATTGATGTAAGCAACTTCAGGTTTTTTCTTGCATTTCATACATGTAGATCATTGAAATTAATCCTGATTGTATCGTACCTTCGGTGCTTCTTAAAATAGGAAACTTGGGAAATCTTCTGCTGATAATTATCCCCTCAATCTGTAAAGAGGATGGAAGTCCATTTGGAGATCATAGCACATGCAGCTCCATCGGACTTTCATACGCTTCGTTCTCTATGGCGGTAATCTTTGAATTTCAACTCAACAAGGCCATGAGGCCAAGCATCGGGTATTCATATTTTTCTTAACATCTCATCTTGTATTGTTTTGTTAATGCAGCTAGGAGGTTTCTACATCTGGACTTATACGTTCCAACTAGTAAGAACTTCGGCTGCAAAATTAAAAGCACTTCAAGCGGTAGAAGAGGTCTCAAAAGCACCCAACAAAGACTTAGAAGCTAGTCAGGAAACTCACCTTCTAATAGGACAAGCTCAAGAAAATGTTGCAATAGTTGTTGCATCAACCAAATCTTCTGAAGATACAAAAAGCCAAGCTGTAAGTACTTTTACAATTGTTCGTCCTATTAGAGCCCTGTATACACACAAATATCAGCAGCCCTGATATCTGCATTTCTGAATCTCTCTGGTTTCAGATTGTTTCCGAAGAACCAGACCAAGAACATGGAAAAGGGAAGGTGTCATTCTGGACTAAAACAATAGGATTTCTTCATCAGCTCTTAGAGGAGCTCATAGCACCCCCAACACTAGCTGCAGTAAGCTTCCTCAGCATTTAACATAAATTTATATATCGACAAGAACTTTAAAAAAACTTTCTTACAGACATCAACTCACAAGACTATTAACCAACTTAACTTGATCCATCTTCCATCAGATTGTCGGATTCATCTTTGGAGCGACTACGTTTTTGAGAAACCTGATAATTGGTGACAATGCCCCCTGCGAGTGATCCAAGACTCCGTCAAATTACTTGGGTATGTTTTTCTATTTTTTGGCACACGATTGTCCCTTTTATATTCAATAATTTTATTTCTGGCATCTAAAAGTGGAAACATTCTGTTGCAGAGACGGAACTATTCCTTGTATCACTCTTATATTGGGAGGCAACCTCACTGAAGGTAAAAGAAAAAAAGAAAAAAAACTATAGTTCAATATTTAAAATCAACGCATCAATGGCAACACATTCTTACAAGCTGTTATTTGTGTTCAAAATAAAAAGGCTTACGCACCTCAAGACTGAAGCCAACAATCGTTATCGGGGTCATTTGTGTTCGATACATGATACTTCCTGCAATTGGTTTGTGGGTTGTTAAAGCAGCTGGTCATCTTGGTCTCCTCCCATCAGACCCTCTCTTTCACTATGTTCTGATGATTCAGTATACCCTACCACCTGCCATGAATATTGGTAAGGAATGGTACTCGACCACATTTTATATAATCAGGAGAGGCTAATTAAAAGAGCGCTTTAATTGCTAATGATATTTAATGACTATAATTTATATACGCAGGTACCATGACACAGTTGTTTAACGTGGGACAAGAAGAGTGTTCACTCCTCTTTTTGTGGACATACTTAGTTGCAGCCTTGGCACTCACTGTCTGGTCAACAATTTTCATGTGGATCTTGTCCTAAATTTAATCTTTAAATTAGGATGTAACTACAAGTTACATAGTTAAAGACTCATCATACAAAGAAATGGCTGTAAAAAATGGGATTTTTATTTCTTGATTTTTAGTGGATTGCTTTACGAAAGTTTTGTTTTAGAGCTTATGTATGCGTAATTATGGTATGCTTCGAAACTCCTGTAAACACATACACAATCATAAAAAACACAATGAAGGTTTCCGATATTGGCCCCCTTGGTCAGCGAGTTGAGCTTTATTATTACTAATATCTGGCATAATTTTTCACACATGAGAGCGAAGTGGTCCAAGTATTTTGATATCATTTCCATTGATCGCAAGGTTAAGTTAAAAAATTAAAATGATAATTTAACCCTCATCCCTAAAGTAAACGAAAAACACAAACACGCCAAACCCCTAACTTCTAAAATTATTCTTCTTAATGTACATAGAGAGAGACGATTGAACTCCAAATTAACCCCCATCGCAACTTTTGATGATAGTGAACAAGTCTTGATTCACGGATGTGAGAGCAACAGAGCCTTGGCAAGGATGTTATCATCAATGCTGGTAGCAAACATAGTTGATGGGACAGAAACAGTGCCAGCACTTGCACCACCAATGAAGTTGGTTCTGAAAATGCCCACACCTGTAAAGATTGATTACTGTGCTATCCTTTACAAGTATGGATCTCTTATTTATTCACATAAGTCACATGCTATCATTAAGATCTCTTTCAATGGGATAATAGATATTGAGGGAGTTACATGTATAAGAAAGTGTTTTAGTCCTGAAGAGTTGATAGCTGAGAAAGGAAAATGTGTTGAGTCCATCCCCCGAATGTAGAGAAAGATATAAGAATTGAGTTATCTCTTATGAATTTTGAGATAAACAAGCCGATTGAAGATGAAAAGGTTGTGAAATTTTTGAAGCTAATTATGCATAGTGGGTATAGTGTGGTAGATTAATTAAACAAAGCTCTTACACATGTATCTCTCTTGTCACTAATCTTGAACTCTAAGCCTCATCGAAGGGCAATTCAAAAAGTCCTCAAAGAAGCATATATCCCACAGAACATCACTTCTAATTCAATGGAACATTTGGTAGAGAGAGTATAAGTCACCAATTACTTGTACTTTACTGACCAATTGAAACCTAAGGGAATTGGTCACAACAAAGCCCTATATATCACTCGTCAAGTGTAAGGATCATAAGATTGGAAAGATGTTGATTGATAATGGATCCACTCTTAATATGTTGCCAAGCTATGTCCTAGATCGTATGTCGATTGATTCTTCACACATGAGGCCAAGTAAAATGATGGCGCGAGCTTATGACGATACCCCTTGTTAGTTTATTAGGGATAACAATTGATCTAGGCATTAGGCCGTACATCCTTTCTACAATATGTTGTTAGATAGGTTATGGATTCATTTTGCAAAGACGCGCTATCATATCCTCACTGCACCAAAAGTTGAAGTATATAGCTAATGGAAAGTTAATCACTATGAAAGCCGAGGAGGCTATGAATAAGGTTAAAAACATGTTGGTTCTATATATTGAGGAAGAAGGAGTTGGTGATAGGAATCTGTATACTTTCGAAGTGGTTAATACTTGGATTAGTTCATGAGAATTTATGAGTAAGGAGTCTTAAATTGTCTAATATTGTGAAGATGACAATAAAGTACATGATAAAAGCTATGTTGCCACCATTTCACATGGATGATGGTTTTTATGGTAATTTCAAGCTTATGAAGTAAGAATGATCGACCAACATTTGGGGTTGGGATATGAGTCATCTAGGAAGGAAAATTAGAGGATGGCTAAAGCTGAAAAACAAGAAAAGATTAACTTGTATTGAAGGGTAAGATCTCGATTATAAAGAAATTGATATCCCTTATATTTATAGTACATTCCTATGAACTTCATATATGGCATTTGTAGATGACGAGGATTTGAACTTGGGCTACATCTTTGATGACATGGCAATCAATTTCTTGAGGGCAATAATGACCGATGGTAAAGACTAGAGTGTACCATCGATATCGTCATCAACCGGATTTAATGTGGCGACTCTTCCATAGCTCAACATTAACATGTTGGAAGAAGCTTTTGACATCAACAAGCTTGTTGTTTGGAAGTGTGTCAAAGATGAGGAGCTAACCAACTACTTTTAGGAAGAAGTGTCGATCATCTACAAGGACGAGTAAACCTCTTTTTTGTCATGTTTTTCATTGACTTTTCAATCAAATTCTAGCTCGAATCTTGGAAATAAACTTTTGATGTGGAGCGTTATTTTGTTCATAATAATAATAATAATAATAATAAATCAAACTATGTGGAATTTTTCTTTTGAAATTGCATTATTTGTATTCCTTTTCTTCTTATTTTATTTGCACTTTTATTTTGCTTTAGGGACATACATTATGATCACCTCTTTAAAAATGAAAATGATTGCACTAAAAATGATTGACCTAAATTTAATAAAATTTTAATTGCAATGGATGAATAAGAATAGGGAGAGGATGATATAAGAGAATTTACAAAACTAGTAAAATTGTCGAACAATCTATCAAACCACACGAAGAAGAATTATAAGTGATAAATATGGGGAATGATGAGAACATACGATAGTTAAAGGTTAGGACATTAATGGAGGATGTTGAAAAGAAAAGTATAGTTTTCCTCTTGAGAGAATGCTCTATTTGTTTGATCATATGCTGACATGTGAGGACTAGATACCAAGATAATGGAGCATAAATTGCCTTTAAACCAGGGGTATAAGTCGGTAAAACAAAAGTTGAAAAGGACAAGATCGGATGTATTGCTTAAGGTATAAAAGAAGAGATTAATAAGTAGTAGGATGTAGGATTCTTAAAAGTGGTAGAATACCTTCAGTGGTATCAAACATAGTGGTAGTGAATAAGAAAGATGGTAAGATCTAAATGTGTATAGAGCCAATATGAAAGATGACTTTCCATTACTCTACATCAACGTCCTCGTTACTAATTCTATAAAAATGCCATCTATTCATTTATGAATGGATTTTCTGAATATAATCAAATCAAGATGGCTATAGATGACAAAGAGAAGACGATGTTTGTCATGCCTTGGGGAACTTTCTAATATAAGGTTATGCATTTCGGATTGAAAAATACTAGGGCCACTTACCAAAGAGCAATGGTGACATTATTTCATAATGTGATGCATAAAGAAGTTGAGGTGTATATGAAATATATGATTACAAATCCAAGAAAGACGAGGATCATACTCGATTATGAGAAAGTTGTATGAGAGATTAAGGAAATATCGATTGAGGTTGAATCCTATGAAGTGCATTTTCGATGTGAGGTCTATAAAATTAATTAGATTTATAGTAAGTAATAGATGAATTGAAGTTGATCCGGATAAAGTCAAAGCCATTCAAAGGATCTATTCGCCATCAACTAAAAAAGAAGTCAAAAGCTTTCTCGTCCATTTAAATTACATTGCTTATTTGATTTCTTAATTAACCAATACCCGTAGCTAATTTTTTGATTGCTATGAAAAAATTCCCCATGTATGGGATGGGAATTGCCAGAAGCCTTTGATAAGATCAATTAATATTTACAAAGTCCATTGTTATTGGTACCACTAATACCGATAAGACCACTTGATCCCATACTTGTCAATGATGGAAGTGGTAGTAAGGAATGTCTTGGGCTAGTATGATGAATGAGGAAAGAAAGAATAAGTCATCTATTACTTAAGTAAGAAGTTCACATATTGTAAATGAAGATACAATACACTTAAGAAGATGTGTTGTAGTTTAGTATGGTATGTGTGATGACTTAAATAATACATGCTATATTACACCAACTGGTTGATTTAAAAAATAAAACCACTTAAGTACACCTTTGAGAAGCCATACTTATCTAGTTGGATTGCAAGATGGTAGATCATGTTATTCGAATATGACATTATATACATGATAAGAAAGGCAGTGAAAGAAAATGCCATACCCGATCATTTATCGGATAATTCAATAGATGACTATGAGCCTTTAAGGCTCAATTTCCAAGATGAGTCAATTATGGTGATTGAAAAAAAAAGAGCTTAAATCGAATGATGACATATGGGTTTTGCACTTTGATGGAGCTATCAATGTATCATGAAATTATATGAGTTAGTCTTGATTTCACCAAAAGAAAAATAGTTTTTGATGGTAGTCAAGTTCCAATTTAAATATACGAATAACATTAATGAACATGAAGCTTGTGTGCATGGTTTAAAAGTAATCTTAGAGATAAATATAAATAAAATTAATGTATATAATGACTCATTACTCATAATTAGTTAGGTGAAAGGAGGGTGGTAGAAAAAATATGAAAAAGCTAAAATAGTATCAAGAGTACCTAACAAAAATCGTTGAGTAGTTTAAAGAAATCAAGTTCACCCATCTAGGTAAAGAAAAGAACCATTTCGTCGAAGCTTTAGCAACCCTTGCTTCTATGATTGAAATTGAATGTGGTGTGAAGATTTATCCTATAGGCATCAAAACTAGAAATATCTTTGCATGTTTTTGTGGTTTGATGGAAGAGGAATTGGATAGAAAATCATGGTACCATGACATCAAGTAGTTCATTAAAAACCATAAATATCCATTAGATGCATCTAAGAGTGATAGAAAGATGTCGGAAGGTTAGCAATGGATTTTTATCTTGGCAATGAGATTTTATATAAAAGAAGTTTTGATGGCTCTCTATTGATATGTTTGGATGCAATCAAGACAAAGAAGACTATAAAAGAGGTACACAAAGGGATTTATGCTACACATGCCGGTAGGTATATGATGACCTAACAAATTCAATTAAGTGACTATTTCGGACTATTATGAAAAAAGAATGCATCGAACATATATAGAAGTGCTACAAGTGTTAGAATCATGCTAAATGGATAAATGTTTCACTAACACCTCTTTTTAACATGGTATAGCCCCGATTGTTTGCGATGTG